ATAATAATAATAATGTATCAAGAAATATCAAAAATAAAAAGAAAAAAATTATAACGACTAATTACCGATTGTTTTCAACGGTATTTAGTATTTGCCGCTCTATATATACAACTACACATCATATATGAACACATACTACAAACTCTTAAATAACATTTTTTTTCAAAAGAAAAAAATATTCGAATTATTACTTACAATTACCATTTCACTACTTATTTTGTGCGCTTTGGAAATTATTACGATATTATTTCAATATAAATTCTATCACTATGTTTCATGTGTTAGGTATTTATCTCATTTGTTTTCTATTAGTCGTTCTGATTGAGTTAAATATTTTGGTGCGGAGTAAAATAAGAATATTATTAATAATTATCTTTCAAAATCAATATAATCCGTTACAACTTATACTTATATGTGAAGTGAAATAGCAAAATTGTAATATACAATGAATCTAAAAGTATATTACTTACTTGCTGCAAATATTTACAATGTCCAACTAAAGTTAAACGGGCCAGCCCTAGCGGGTTTCGGGCTAGCCCTAACGGGCTTCAGTTGAAGCGGTCCGGGCCTAAAAAGTCCTGATTTAAACGGGCTACCAATAAAAAGCCCTAATCCTGTTTTTGTCCGGGCTAAACGTGCCGGCCCGTCGGGCCAAGAACCGTTTAACATCTCTACTCAGGATGCTAAAGAGATTATTTGATTTTAAATCAAATAATCTAAAGTCATAAATACAAATGTATGGGGCGACCCTTATAATTCACAAAGGCCGAAAATACTAGTTTTTGATTTTGAAATTCTAATTTTTTAGAAAAAATAGTATTTTCAGAAATCTCCATATTAATTCTAACAAAGTATTTATGATTTTGAAATACTATTTTTTTTTCTAAAAAAAAATAGACTAAATCTTGGGTGCGGTTTGGTGCGGTTTTTGAAGAGTTCGGTTAACGATGCGGTTTGAATCTTAGAAAACCGTACATGTGCCGATTCAGTTCGGTTTTCTGTCCGAATGGTGCGGTTTTAACCGAACCGCACGACATATAATAAAGAAGTGTCATTTTAGTTTTACCACTTTTACATACTACTAGTACAGTGCCCGTGCGATGCACGGGGGCATTTTTAAAAGGTATTTTTGCATTTAAATTGTATCATGACATTAAATTATTGAGCACTTCCTTATGTACAACATTTTTTGTTTGATTTTATGGCACGTAAAATACTACATAGTTGTTCGAATTTTATCTACAATTGCGTATTATTAGTTATTAGCTCACAAATTACATTTGTTTCTAAGAAAAAAAATATGGATCTTATTTATTAAAAAAAAAAATTAGTCGGAAAAAAGTAAAGATTTCTAGGAATTTCCATGCCAATTTTTTAATCTAATTCAACACTTTAATTCAGAAAAATTGAAAAGAATCATTAGTTTTTCCTAAAAATAAAACGGAATTTTCATATCAATACACCGATTTTTTACCAAACAAACTAATCAAATATTTAGAATTTTTATGACTTTGATAGACATTGTGAGACTTTTGTAACAAAATCTAAGCAATATAAATTTCAATTAAGACTTTGTCTTTGTAATTTTATTGAAAAAATCTTCGAAAGTCTTCCAATTTAAAAAGTCTTCCAATTTAAAAAGTCTTATAAATTATTTCTATTTTGAATAACGGGTGACTTATTGTCGCTCTTAGAAAGTTTCAATTGAATATACTTAGACTTCTAGAGATTTATAAAAAGTCTTTAAAAGTCATGTACTTTTTAGAAGTATAAAAAAAAAATTCAAATTAATACAACAAAATACAAAATTTTGAAAGTCTTAAAAAGTCCTATTTGAACACGCCCTCCTTTGTTTGGGATATCTTCTTAATGATATTATCGATATGTATCGAAGAGGCTTCTATAAAGTAAAATGTTGATTTTCTAAATTATTTGGACGAATGTTTCATTTTGATAAGAAAAATCACCATTGTAATTGTTTTCTTTTTTTAATTGGCAAAGGTCTTCTATTCATATGTAGAATAACGAAACATGAAATTATTTATTAATTATGTTACGTTATTTTTAAACAAAATCAAACAGTTAAACATAAAAGGATTCAAAATTGGCGTTAGGATGACATGAGATTGAAGATTATTTATAAACAAAATTAATCAATTAATTAATTAAATGATTATTTCACCATATCAACTTGACTTTATTTTACCAAAATTAATGAATTTTGTTACAAAAAATAAGGTAGGCTTTTAGATGAATTGAAAAATCATATTTTTAAAAGTATTACTCAATGCAATTTTTACCAAAAATTATTAAGTTGGTTACCAAAATATAAACATACGAAAAGATGGTATGCAACATTTTAAAACTCGATATTTTGTGTAGATATCAAAGTTAAATAAAAAAAAACCTCAAAAAGTCCGAATAGGTTGGCAAAGTTGTTACAAAAAAGCTAAAAAATTTGAATAGATTGTCAAATTGATATGTCTTGAATCGGCTCGGTTCAAAAAAGTCGTGGTTGGGATGGACTGAGCATCACTGGAACGGCTGGCCCGCAATTCTTGGGAACCACTTTGCGGCTCTTTCCTTTTTCTGCTCGATTCATTCGTAAAACGCATGTTAAACGCCTCCCCCATTTCAAGATCCCTGTTTGTTCACTCTGCTTTAGACATAGCTTTTGCATATAGTATAGATATGCTGTGATCCAATACTTCAACTTCTTGGTCTTCAAGAACATAAAGCCACATAATAAGGGCAACAGGTGAGGTAAGGACAACCCTATTGTTCTGATCATCGGCCTCAGCTTGACTACCAGCCCAACTAATTAACTTCATCATATTTAGCCCTTGCAAACTGAAAGGCTCTTTCAGCAACCAACACCCACAAAAGGGCCAATTTTTTGGGGGTAACGATCATTTGACCGGGCCCATCTCCCAGTGTATGAAGCATAATCAATAAGCAAAATGCATCATGTAATGCTTTATACAAAATGATTCAATCCTCGGGCCTCAATAAGGATGCGACGGGCAAGTAGGGCTCGACTATTACGATCAAAATATCTCAACAAAATTCAAACACCAATCAAACTCAAGAGTCGAGCTAGCCAATATACCTTGTGTCGGAAAAAAGGAACACAAACACAGGAATAAAAAGGTTGCTCGGTCGCCGGAGTGCGTTTGTCTCAGCTTGGTTGATTGCTGAAAAAGGCTCTCCTCTATGTACGTAGCCGAACATTTTGAGTTCGGTCGACTCTGTGGTGCTGTGATGGTCGCCGGTCGCGGCTCGAGGTCAGATGCTGAGGAGGGTCATCGAAAGTCAGATGTGAGCTCGAACTCGCCGGGATGTCTCGAAACGCCGATGAGTTCCACAGAAGATGCGGCTCTGGAACAGAGAGAGGGTTTGGGGCTCGCGACCTAGGGTTGCTCTGGCCGTCGGAATTCGAGGCTCGCCTTTTGTGGTCGGACGACGCGGTTGCCATGTTTGTCTCGTCGAAGGAGAAAATTGCAGAAAAATTCGAGAATTTTCGCGAGTGAAATTAAGGGTGAGATACTGAGGGAGATCTTAGGGCCGGCTGAGGATTTTAAAGGAGAAGGATTGGCTCCAAAAAAATGTCGATGGAATTGCTGAAATTAGGCGAAGAGGAGGAGTGGCCGAGAATTTTGCGGAGGAGATTTCGGAAAAGATGACCATTCTATTCGGTAATTATCTCTTCTTTTTCTTTTCCTTTTTAATCTTATTTTCTTTACTATTTAATTATTTTCTTACTTAATTAGGAGTTAATAAATTAAATTTGGTTATAGCTTAATAATTGTTAAAGTTGGTAAAAAAATCACGTTGTTAAAGTTGTTAAAAAAAACAAAAAAAAAATGAACTACCGATTTGATATATATGTAGTAATATATTATAATCTTTAAAAAATAAATTCATATAATGTTGTCCTACGATTTTATATACTATATTATAAAATATTCGAATATCGAATATATTATTGAAGTAGATTTTATTGCTCATGATAGAGTTGTGATTTCAATGTTCAAAGATTTCTGCTTTGATTATATTCAAAAAAAAAAAAAAAAAATTATTTGTTTTATAGATAAATATCTATAACAACCCTTAGTATTTTGTAAAGTTTGGATTCTATTAGTAATTAAAATATTCGATTTGTGTTGTATAGACTATTGGTGAAATGATTATTTATTAAACTAATATAAGTTTAGCAATCAAATATTTTGTGAAATGCGGAGTAGATTTTATTGTTGATTACATTCCATAAAACCCTTTAGTATTTATCCGTAGGTAAACTGTTTAAATGCAAATGCTTATCCAATTAATTAAAAAATGGGAAAAGACGTGTGCAAAAGAACAAATTAAGTGAGATAATTTAGGCAAGACAATCTCATCTAATTTTTGTTAACAAAATAAAAATCGAACACGAGATTTGTGGTGTCATTTGTTGAACAAATTGTGAATCATTTTAAATATGAGAGAAATCAACGTCATTAGTTAACAAAATTTGATTTTTTTGGTAAGTCAATGGAACACTAAAAAAGTCGCAGAGAATCAGCTAAAAATTTGTTCCAAAATTCGAATTCATAGTAACAAATCCCACAAAATCTGAATAAATGTGTAACAAAATTTTGGAATGCAAGGATTGATTGATTATCTTAATTATGTAATTTAAGTTTTTCCTTAAATTTATGTTAATTAATTAACCGGGTGGGACCTACATAGTTATTGCCTTAAGTAGTATGTATTACTTAAAGAGGTAAGTCAAACCTTTATTTTTTAAAGTCAACTTTAATATTTTTGTATTTTACCAACAACCTTTTTATAGATTATTATAGATAGATTACAGATAGATTATATATATAAATTATAGATTATAGATATAGATATAGATTATAGATTATAGATTAGAGATTATAGATATGTAGGTTGCACTTTTAGTTATTTAAAACTTTAAAAAAAAAAAAAATCATTTATATTCTCACGTTTTATTCAGAATGAATCTCAAGAACATCATTTCTGCCCTAATTTTTTCTCTCGCTCTCGCCCGCTCTGTCAAAGTCTCAAGACTTCAACCCCGCAGCCGCTCGCCCACTCCCGTTTTCACTATCGAGTCTCAACCTTGCTCTCACTCATCGGAGTTCTCGACCCCGATCTCCTCGCTCTCAGCCCTTGATCTCGGCGGCGTCGTTTTTCCGGTGTTCGATCGAGATCTATTGCCAGCCAGCGCCGGCGACGAAATCGGCTTGGAGAGTGAAGCAAATTTGCCGGAATCGAGCAGCGCGGTGGCTCCGCTGAGCAAACTATTCGCCGAGGAAAGCGAAGATCGGGCGTCGTGCTCGTCATCGGAGGTCGACGAGCTGGAGAGCGTGCCGGAGGGCACGTACTGCGTGTGGCGGCCGAGGGCGGTGGACCGGCCTCCGCCGGGCGGGTGCAGGAAGAGCAGCTCGACCGGGTCGGCGTCCAAGAGATGGAGGTTCCGCGACCTTCTGCGCAGCAATAGCGAGGGGAAGGAGAGTTTCGTCTTTCTGGCGGCGCCGAAAACCAGGGAGGAGAAGCCGTCGGCGACGGCGGCGGCGGAGCTTCCGGGAAAAGCGAAGGGGAAAGGGGCCGGGGCGGCGGCTCGTTCGGCTCAGGAGGCGCTGTACGTGCAGAAGAGAGCGGTTGTGGAGGGGAATAAGAAGAAATCGTATCTGCCTTACAGGCGAGATCTCGTGGGGTTCTTCGTGAATGTTGACGGGTTGGGTAAAAGGTTCCCGCGATTCTGCCCGCTCTGTCAAAGTCTCAAGACTTCAACCCCGCAGCCGCTCGGCCATTCCCGTTTTCACTATCGAGTCTCAACCTCGCTCTCACTCATCGGAGTTCTCGACCCCGAACTCACCTCGTTCTCAGTCTGTCACCCTCCGGGCTCACTCGCGGCTCGTCAGTCCATTCCAACAGCTTCCTCAATTTAGGTAAGTCTCAGTCTTCTCCAATTGACGATTGCGATTTCTGCTGTTTTATTGCAGCAAGGGATGTTGTTGGATATTGAGTCATTGACATATTGTTATGCATTTTTTTTTTCTATGCTGTGTTGCTGCTATTATGGATATTGACATATTGTTTAGTATTATGTTGTGCTGCTGCTATTATGTAATGTGCTGGACTTATGCTATGTTAATTGTTATGGACTTTTTCGGTGCGGTTCGGTTTTTGATCGAACCACACCGATGCTCACCCCTAGAACTAAGAATATGGAGAACCCGAAGGGCGATGCAATGGTATTGTCTGTCTTTTCTTTGTCTGTTATTCGTAACAATGTTCGCGAGTGCTGTTACTCTCCATTTATCGGATTTTGGGTTGAAATTAACTCTTCCTTGAAGCTATAGATAAATAATTTCGTATGCTGAGTGTTTGTGCGTGTGTGTGTGTGTTTGATTGTCTCTGTTTCCGTGGATCGGGATTCCCAAATTTGCTCGAAAATCTAAAACTTTGCCAAATTTGTTTCGTATGATGTGTTGTGATGTTTGATTGATGGTTTACTCGATTTTTTTGATAGTTGTCTGCCCGAGTTTTTTCCGAAAAAAAGTTGAGAAAATATGGGAGAGCAATGAGGGGGGAGTTAGTAAAAAATAGCCATTATCCACACAATCATGCACTACTGTGTTAAATAGCCAATTACCTATACAACAAGGAATCAATTAATTAAATTATGCATCACTGGCCATTAAAGTTTAAACATTAATAACTGATGATCCCGTATGCAAGTGCAGGTACCTACAAAGATGAACTTTGAAATTCGAGATGGGAACTTTAGAGAGTTTATTCACAATATCCGTCGTGAGCTGTCGGATCCTGACTTTCACTGTCATGGAAAGCCAATTCTCACGGATATCCCGAGAAGCCTTGAGATCGTATTGCGAGATGACTGACTTGAACATGAGGCCACTATCACATTCGGCAGAAATGATCTTTGCGTATATGGCTTTGTTGCAGGTCCGGTGAGGCGGGAATTTAGGACATTCGGACCAAGGCGCATCGCCGATTCTTGGGATTTAACCTTCGAGGAGTCAATACAATTCGTTGTTGCAAGCCTTTTTTAAGGGCAAGAAGAAAGATTTATCGGACGTCAAAGTCGGGATGAACGAACTAGCTTGGACAGTGAAGTGGTTTCAACAATCAGATGACTCTATGGTGGCATTCTCACGGTGGCACTCATGATATCCGAGTTCGTACGATGTGATATGATATTGAACCATGTTGTTCAATATTTGGAAGAATGAAGACCCTTTGGGAAAGAAAACACCATTATGGTCAACAATTGAGAGAAGATTAGTACTTACTTAATTGGGGATGCAAATTACATGGACTCTTTGGAATGCCAGAAAAGATCAGTGAAATATTTGGTAGTTTGGAGGAAGTTGTTCAAAGTATGGGATTGCTTAAAAATATGACACTTTTGATTTGTTGTGGCAACAGGGGCTGCCGAAGATGGAAATTGGGGCAGGTTAAAATAAAAATTCTCCATCATTAGTAATATATTGTCTTCTAAGTATGTAGTACTAATGATGGGGAATTGGTATTTTAACCTGCCTCAATTTCCAACTTCAGAAGCCCATGTTGCCACAGCGAATCAAAAGTGTCATATTTTTAAGCAATCCCATAATTTGAGCAACTCTATCCAAACTATCAAATATTTGTAGGATTTCTTCTGGCATTTCAAAGATTCCAGGGTAATTTGCATCCCCAGTAAGGTAAGTACTAATCTTACCCCAGTTGTTGACCATAATGGTGTTTACTTCACCAAAGGGTCTTGATTCTTCCCAAAATTGAACAACATAGTTCAATATCATGTCACATCGTACCGACTCGGATATCATGAGTGCCACCGTGAGAATGCCACCAGCCAACAGCATAGAATCATCTGATTGTTGAAACCACTTCACTGCCCAAGCGAGTTCGCTCATCCCGACGTTGACGTCCGGTAAATCCTTCTTCTTGTCTTTAAAATAGGTGTGCAACAACGAATTGTACGACTCCGTGAAGGTTAAATCCCGAGAATCGACGATGCGCCTTGGTCCGAATGTCCTAAATTTCCGCCTCACCGGACCTGCAACAAAGCCATATACGCAAAGATCATTTCTGCCGAATGTGATAGTGGCCTCATGTCCAATCCAGTCATCCCACAATACGATCTCAAGGCTTCCCGGGATACCCGTGAGATTGGGATTGTCTTCTTATTATGTAATGTATTTCTGGGCTTGTCAACATTGAGTATTGCATTATTATTCTAATTATGCAATCTATTTTGGGGAATGTCAATGTGAAACTTTGATATCATTTAGTATGTGCAAGAGTCTAAAAATGTGACACTCGATCGACTAATTTAATAAGAAAGAAAAAAAAATGCGAGAGCATGTAAGTCAACTTTTGTGTGTGTCCTTTATATAACTCAAATACGAAAGTCTTACAATACGAGGCCTAACTAGACACATCAATTACTCAGAGTATAACACGCGTATAAGTCCAAGCAGCAACAAGAAATAAGAACTACAAATTCCCTTGAAGAGGGTTAAAAAGGCAAAAATTATACATGCACTTGAATTGAAATTGAAAACACACGAACACAAAGACAAACACAGAAAAAGAAAATTGACAACAAAGGCATCCACATGCTCCACAACCAGGTGGCTTTTCCCATTTTCGTTCGTTGTACTTTGAACACTTCTTGGTTTTCAATGTCATTTTCTGATTGGACAATTCATGTTGGACGTCAACTTAAAGGCCCTTGATGTTAGGGGTCATGCGAACAACGATGACTCCTGATGTCATTTTCCATTCGTCAAAGCTGACCTACAATATTTCTAATCACCCCGATGTCAAAACCTTTAGGCAGATGTCGCTAAGAACCTTTTGCAATGCAACGATATGATGGTTACGAAACGACACGCCGGTTAAGACGTGCTCGTACTTAATGCGCTCAACGGATATATTCAAAAAATAACGGTCCCACGTTCATACGGTAGTTTCGCACTTGAATTGAAATTGAAAACACACGAACACAAAGACAAACACAAAGAAACAAAATTGACAATAAAGGCATCCACATGCTGTAATAGCCCGTTATGTTATTAATGTAAATTACGCGTTTAGTTTCAAAATATTTATTTTATCGATCATTATCGTTCGAAACTAGTTATCCAAGACAAGAACGTTCGAATTAATTTTTGAATGTCACGTTTATGCTCAAAATAATTTTTTTTGAAGTAATTAATTCATGTTCAATCGCTCGATAAAAATTTCCGAGTCTAATCGACCATTAATCCATGTTTAAAGCATGCTAAGGTCGCATCAATTGGTCTTAATCGCATGCGTTACTTAGGACTATCATTAGCCGTGCACTAAGCCATGCTTATCATAGCATTATGCATTAAACCATGCGTTGCTAATGTCCGAAATTGCTCAAGCAAATTCACGTGAAGTAATCATATCACCTAGCACATGTGGAGTTATATTAGAACTCTTGGGAGATGACTAAGCATGTCAAGAGATGTTTAAGCTAGTAGAGGCCTCCTAGCCACCCCAATGCACGGCAAGTGGCGTGCGCCTATTGGCCACGCCTTTGACTTGGGTATTCTTCAAAATTTTACCTTCATTCACCGAGTATATATCAGAGAAGTTGGGGTGAAAATTTACAGCATATACTCAAGTTAACCACTAAGCCAAAGTTAAGGATAATTAAGCAAGTTTAAGATCTATTCTTACCGCACGCACGCACGGAATCACCGAGGCCGAGCATTCACGAGAATTTGTGCAATTGATCGAGCACCGGAAGAGGTAATCTCTTCTTACCTCTATTTCCATGTTAAGATAATCATGTTAGGTCCAATCCATGAATTTAAGTCCATAAACGTGCTATGTTTTCCCTTAATCGTATCAATGAAACCATGTCCAGCGATGTTCATTTTTACTCTGAAGCTCTCGAGCAATTCACGTTTATTCAGTCAATACATGTCATTTCATGTTCAGTTGGGTAAGGTTGGTCGAGGAAAAATTATTGCTTGGCCGAGGATTGGCCAAGCCGTGAGCTACGCCTATAGCGCACGCCACGACCATGACGTCTCTGTAACATCCCACTTTGATTTTAAAGAAATTCCGGACTTTCAAAAAATCAGTGTAAAATTTTCAAAATCATTTTCAAAAATTCGATGGGAGTTATACAACATTTTTCATAACCCAAGTCTTATCTGGGCTCACGGGGATTCATTACCCAATTTTCACAAACGGTTATCATTAACCGAAACACATCACGAGACATAATACTCAATCATGAATATATAATCAAGCCATAATACCCAACAATCCGGGTTCCACAAATTTCCAAAACAAGCATGTCATAAGTTCTGAAAAATAGCATAATCAAGTCTCAACATAAAGGTTCATAAAACCTTATTTATACGGAAGCGATAAATAGAAATGACCGACCCACTCGCCTCTTCTCGTCACCCAGCTCCTGCTTAACCTGCATCGGTAAAGAGCAGGTGGGGATGAGCACTAGATGAAAAGCGTGCTCACCACTATGCACATAAATAATACATGTTAAGATGGTATGGTCGCAGTATGAATATAAATCAATCATCATCATGTCTCATCTCCTAATCACAACAATAACTCACTCATGTGCACATCTATCATTAGCCGCAGAAAGAGGATGCATAAAACCTAACGATGGGAGTGCGTGCCACTGTAACGGACACGGCCCTTCATTAGGTCTTAAGGAGACTTTCCTCGCAAGGGCAACCGTACCGTAACTCGACGGGGACAACCGTACCGACGACCGTAACAGCTCACATCAGTAGGCCACATGGTTCACACTCATGCATTGGTCATGCTAACCAAACACTTAAACACACGTATGACATAGATAATTTTATAAGTAAACCCACTGGAAGGCAGCAACAAACATAAAGCGAGG